TGGTTGACCTGGGCCAAGCTCTTTCCCTCTAAACCTCAATTTCCATACTTGTAAAACTGGTGGAGGACAAACAGAATAAACGCTCCCTATAGCCTTTGCATTTCAAGTTGTAGAATTCAGTGGTGTCCTGTCCTGATTTAGATGAGGACAATATTCTCTCTTCTGAAGCTGCAATGGCCAGACCTCTCTGCTATGTAGCTAAAAAGGCAGCTTTGGAATATATTCTAGGCCTAGTCCACATCTCATAGTCAGACTTTAAGAAGGAAGATTTTCACATTCCCTTTGGGCCAGGACTCCGTAATTAGTACAATCAAAAGAAAAACAGTTATTTTGAGGAAGATGATCTAGGAGATAAAAAGTATAGCCAATATTTCTTTAATTCATCCTACAAATATTATTAAGTACTCATTATATGACAGGTACTGATCTATGCACAGAAATAATGGGAGTTAAGCCAAAAGGTGAATTCATTTATGCAGTGAATGGAGTAAGGGTTATCAGAGAGAATATTCAGGCCAAAACTATGTGGTAGGTCTTAAGATGAAAGAGAGTAAGCATTTGGTGTGATAACATAGAATCTAAAGGGTCTTACTGACAGTCATGATCTTCTATTAATTCTTGGTCAGGTCAACTTTTTGGTATATATTTGATCATAAGATTTTCCATTTACACAATTACAAAAGTAGAGGCTAGTCCATCTTTCATGCTTCATAGATACAGATTTTCCAGGGCTATGCTTTTCTTTCTCCAGAGGCCAAAGAGTATCTTCCAAGATACTTAATGGGATTTTCCAGCCCCCCACAAGATGCAGGGTGATAAAATGGTGATGGAATAGCTGAAGGTATAGGCTGCCCCAGTTCAAATTAGCTGTTCTCTGGATGCCTGGTTTGTATCTAGAGAGCATGCATATTGACTGTGCAGCTTCTTCAACATCTAAATCTAATGCCATCAATGAAAATGCCATCTGAGAGGATGTTAGCACAAGTTTTATAAGACAGCTGGATGGACAGAGACCTCGGAGACTGGTTTAGTTTTACATGCTATGTGTAAGAATTAAAGGTACCCACCCACCAGACAGTTTTATTGGGTAATTGATATTAGTCTCAAAGATATTCTTAATCTTTTTTTGCCTAATATTTGAGTTGAATTGTGTCCCCTCCAAAAGATATGTTGAAGTTCTAATCCACAGGACATGTGAATGTGGCCTTATTTGCAAACAGGATCTTTGCAGATGTAATCAAATTAAGATGCAGTCGTACTAGATTAGGGTGGGCCAGTGGTTTATAACATGAGGAAAATTGGGACGTAGACACACAGAGAGGAGAATGTCATGTGAAGAGACAGACAGAGACAGAGAAGATAGCTACATGAAGCCAGAGGCAGAAATTAGAGTGGTGCGGCTACAAACCAAGGAATGCAAATGATAGCTGACAACTACCAGAAACTAGGAAGAGGCAAGAAAGAATTCTCCTCTAGAACCTTCAGAGAGCACGGCCATGCTGATGGCTTGATTTCAGACTTCTGACCTTCATAACTGTGAGAGAATATTTTAAGCCACCTAGTTTATGGTACTTTATTATAGCAGTCCAAGTAAACTAACACACCCTCCAATTTTTCCACACAGATGCATTTCCCAAATTATAATGGAACCCATTGGAAAAGTGTTGCAATACACACACCTTACATTACACAGCACTTTCAGAAGTGTATCTAACACAAATGTAGGATTGGCCCTTGAAAATTTCACTAGATCTAGTTTCAAAGTTTTACCTGGTGGTCTTGTTACAAAGAAGAAACTAGGCTTGTATGGAGAGAAAATTGGAGAGGTCCAGAGCAGATGGAAAGCCAGAGCTACCTCCTCTCTCTCAGCCATAGGAGATGACACTAGAATCTCTCTGGTCTAGACTATATGAAGGTAACTTAGTGCTGAAGGGAGACAGGCACAACAGTGGAGTTGACTGTATGACTATCTAGAACCTGCAGGTTCTTTAAAATATGCTTCCACCATAAACACTACCCTGACTTTTAATTCATTAAACTGCATAACACAGAGACATAGATGGCCAAGAACATTTAGCCAACACAGATGGGAAGATGTAGGTAGAATCTTGGTATGCTAACACATTTGCCTTAAGACAAAGGTGAAGTCACTTTTCCAAGTGCTAGGGATGTAAAATTAATAAGACATATCCTCAGCCTGGAGCTGAACACAGGCTGAAGGTTAAATAAAAGAAAGAAAGAAAGAAAGAAAGAAAGAAAGAAAGAAAGAAAGAAAGAAACCAAACTGAAAGAAAATGAAAAAAGAAATTTGATACTAGAAGAGGGAAGGAAGGAAGGAAGGAAGGAAGGAAGGAAGGAAGGGAGCAATTCCAAGATTTCCGGTAGTGACAATTTAGGTTATTTGAATTATCCTTCTCATTGAAAATCATGAAAATGCAGGATAAACACTGGACAGCAATAATATGTAAGTTGGGATGATGCAAGTAAAGTAAGGATGCTAAAGCTTTATTTTTATCTAGAAGGGAAGTAAAAGTTTTTATTATTATTACACTTTGGTAAGTTAAGAAAGCATGACTTGATTACTAGGATTGCCGCTAACAGAACAAAAATGGTGTGCATCATTTCCAAACTCAGACAGGGGAAAATATGCTAAGAAATAATTAGGCAATCAAAAAGGTAAGGTAAGAAAGGGGATACATGAGAAATGTAAAACAAGAGGAACAAGTTAGAAAAGACAGAGTAATTAGTATATTTGAACACACACGTATCAGTAATTACACTGATGTAAATGTAGATGTATAATGTAGAATGTAATTACGTATATAAATGTTAATGGACTAAGTGCTCCAAAAAATAGACAAAGATTGTCAGCCAGAATTTTAAAAATTCAAACAAGTGAAGTTTATAGAGAGACACATCTAAAACATAAGGTTGTCAAAAGGGTAAAAATAAAAGGATAGAAAAAGATATACCATGTAAATATTAATCAAGCCACTGCAAAATACATGTTCTTTTCAAGTACTTATGGAACATTTACAAACGTAGTTCATGTACCTAGCCATAGAATAAGATTTTTAAAGTTTTCAAGTGACTAAAATCAAGTAATGTATGTTTCCAGACAATAATACAATTTAGCTGAGAATCAAAAGCAAAAGGAAACAGACCACAGCATATACAGACACTTAACATATCACAAAGATGGCATAGTGTAGCAATGAGGAAGATTATCTTCCTACAAATGATGCTAGGACAATTGTGTTTTCATAAAGAAAAGAAACAAATTGGACCCCTACCTAAAACTGTACTTAAAAATCAATTCCAGGTATGCCTAAATGTGAAGATGAAATCAATAAAGCTCTTAGAAGATAATAAAGGAAAATATCTATATGATCACGGAATAAAGAAAAAAACGATAAATTTGACTACATTAAAATTTAGAACTCAGTTCATTAAAATATACTATTAAAAGGATGAAAAGTCAAGCTATCGAGTGAAAAAATATTTAAAACACGTATATCCATCAAAAGTCTAATATTCAGAGGAAATTTTTATTAACTTCTACAAATCAATACAAAATAAACAACACAGTAGAAAAAATGGAAAGAGATTTGAAGAGGCACTTTACAAAAGAGGAAACCTGAATAACTAATAAACATAGAAAAGAGTACACTACCTAATTAGTAATCAGGGAAATGCAAATTAAAACCATAGTGAAATGCCACTACACATCTATCAGATCTGCAAAACTTTTAGAGTCTAACAAATACCGAGTGTTGGCAAAGATGTAGAACAATAGGAACTCTTGTGTACTGGTGACTTGTGTAAATTGGCACAACCATTCTGGAAAACAATTTAACTTTAGTAGAAGAGTTGAAGACACATATACCCATCCATGACTCAGGTTTTCCAATCCTAGTTTTGAAACCTAGAGAAATGCACACGTACATGCTCTAGGAGACACATACAAGATTTCCTATCAACATCATTTACAATGGGCCCAAATTATAAGCAACCTAATATCCATCAGCAGTGGGATAAATTAAATTGTGGTAAATGTTTTTAAATGTAATTTTATGCAGTAATGAGAATGGATGAGATATGGCCTAACACAAGTCTATAGATGAATCTTAGAAACATAACATCGAGTGAAAAAAGCCAGACACAAAACTATACATGCTATATGCTTTTATGAGCTTAAAAACTGACAAAACTAAATATGTTGTCTAGGGATGCATAAAGAAAAGTAGGAATTGGTTACCATAGAAGTCAG